CCTCTCCCCTCATATTGTCCAAAGATCAGCTGTATTTGTGAGGACTTGAACAGGACATCTACTCTTCTCCTGCCAAGTGGTTGCTCGTGGAAAGAGAGCCAAGCTGCAGGAAAGCCATTACCACCTGGTATCGAACCCTAAAATAGAAACTCCTAACTCCATTCAAGGCAGGGACATGGAAGGCTGGGCTGGTAACCATCAGTGTTCTCGAATAAAGCCAACACATGCTTCCCAACACAAAACGTGATTACAGCATTTTACCTTTTTTTTTAAATAACAGACCGCTTGAGATCCAGACAGCATCTACCTTTACATCTTGGAGGTCTCCCCTTCACCTGGTCCTTATGGATCAGATATGGAACTGTGTTTAACTGAGTTTAGATTCTAGCTCTGCCACTCCCTAGCTGAGCCTCGGTTTCCCCACAGTTGAAACAGGAAGGGTGTTCACTCTAGGAATCATTGGAAGAAGCCAGATCATATACAGTAATGTCGTCATCAGTTCTTAGAAACTATGACTTTAAGAAAAACAACTTATAACAGAAGCAATTTTTCTGCAGGCTAATTGGTATAAGCAAGACTTAAGTTCCTACAGCATCTCATCAGCATTATAATGGAACAACATTGAACAAAATGTCGACCAATGACCTGCTGTATTTCACAGACGATTGTCCCTGCATACAAAGAGAGGCTGTTACTTAGGTTGTGGAGGGACTTTTGGTTTTGTTTGTTTCGGCTTTGGTCATACATTTAAGTTCTTGGGTCCCCAAGGCCCCACTTTATCTCTTCATCTCGTGCTGCTGGATCTGCTCTCCAGCAGGAACCTTCACTCTCGGGGGCTGAGAGCTAACGTCACTGTTACAACGCAGGTAGTTCATCCCAGGCAACTATGCTGATGAAAGGACAATAGAATTGTGGAACAGGCCAAAGAGAAAAAGGCTTCAGAGGATAAGAAGATAGGAATGAAAACCATTAAGATTTACTCTGCACCGGGCATGATGACAAGTCATTTTCATGAACTTTCATTTCTTTTTCCCAACCATCCCATTACAACAGCCCCGTTTATAGGTAGTGAAATTGAAAGAGTTGAAGTCATTTTCTCAAAGGCTTCCAGCTAGCAAGGAACAGAGCTAAGAGGAACTCAGTAGCTGATTAAAGAGCCCAGGATCTCACCCACTATTGGGTCTCTGTTTTTCTGAGAAAGCTAAACCGTTTCTCAGAAACCCCATGGCTCCAGCCACAGGGGGGCCCTACACTTGGGTAAGAAAGAAGCCATTTAACTGGAGCCACCTGGAGTTTTACATCTGCACCTGGATCTAGTAGGAACTGGAGTGGGTAATAAATGGGCGGATTGTAGAAGTCTCAGCCTCACAATCTCTGGAAGCGGGAGAGAGTAGCTTTTCCTTTCAAAGTAAGTATGAAAAAAACATGAGAAGGGATAGCATCATTCCGCTTTTACCTGACATACCTGGTTCTTTAAAAATACTCTATGTCTGTGCTTGAAATTGATACTGACGAGAAAGGGCAGCCTTCAGTTTGAACTCAGAAGGTGCTGGGGTATCCATCACTAGATGTTTGAGGCTCTAAACTTGGGCTAGGCCAGAGGTTTTCAGTTTCACTGTGATGGGTCCAGAGCCAGTTCCCGCAAGGCCTGAGGGACTGGGTTGGGGGTGGGGAGGAGGGTCCATGGGCTCCTGGGTGGGTAAAGGCTGAGTGAGCCCTGTTTCCTAAATTGTCGGGAACTTGAGACAGGGTGCTCTTCTGCCATTTCCCCCACTTCGGTCTCTCTTTCCATTCCCTCCTGTTATCAGAACTACCCAGTTGGAAAAATAGTGCTCAACAAAGACCAAGAGAAAAGCTGGCCTCCTCATTCCTGTAACGGGAATCAGCTTTGGATGTGGAAGGCTCTCACATTTGAGAGCATGCTCTTGGCTCTGAGTTGCCAGCAAGGCCACTGGGTGCCTAGCTGCCCAGCCTTGTGCTCAGCTGGGTTTGAGATGGGTTGAGGCAGGTAGAGGCAGAACTACTACTCTAGAGAGACAGGGGAGGGGGCAGCTGCTTGAGGAGATGCAGGCCCTGCATGGACCCCTCAGAGAGGCTGGAGTCAGGGTTGGCATTTGAGGGGGTAAGAATTGCATTCAACCAACCACAAATCGAAAACAGTATTTTTGCATTCCATTAATACCTAGTCCCACCATGCCCTTTGCTCCATACAGAATCTGGTTACTGAGCATTTGTTCAGTTACCAGGATCCGAATTAGAAAGACCACCTCTGAGTAGAGAAGGGCCAGGGAAGGTAGTCATCATTCTACCCTGACCTTCAACTTAATGCTGGTCTCTTCCCCCTCTCTGGGCTTCAGTTTCTGCATTTGTACAGTTGTTAGGGGTAGGTGTCAGACTTCTAAGGTTTATTCTACCTGCCACTACATTTTATGATGCTGCCTCAGACAGAAGCCCTAGAAGAAGCCAAAGCATCATGGGCGCTGGAGGGAGCACTGAAGCTCCTAGTCACCCCTGGGGATAGTGGAGGGAGTGGAGCAGGATGTCTTCTCTGTCACTTGAGCAGGTGGATCTCCTCTCCGCAGTCAGCCATGGAATGGCGGTGGCAGTTCATTTTAGGGTTCTGGACGGTCATGCCCATCTGGGCTGGGGACGAGCTGCTCAATATCTGCATGAAGGCCAAGCCCCACAAGCAAGAGCCCAGCCCAGAAGACCAGCTCTACGAGGAGGTATAGAGGCTTGACTTGGCCCAGGGGCGGGAGTGGGGCTGTTTTGGCAGATCAGGGAAGGGACGAAAATGCCAAGATGGTTTCTGAACCCTCATCGACCCTGTCTTGTTTGGTTCCTTAGGTTGGGATTTAGGAAAAGCCCACTGGAAGGACACTATGACCTTTTGAGACCATAATTGCCGAGTGATTCAAAGTTCTTATTTCTGAGCCACTGGCCACTCGGGGAGCAGGGGCAAGTGGTGATCCCAGAGACCCATCATTGGTTCAGCATAGATTCAAACAAACAAGGTCCTCCTTCTCTAGCCTTCCCACCAATAGGCTCTGGGGAAACATGACTTAAGCGACTCCTCCCCAAGCTCTTAAAGGCCACTGACAGGGATGTGGGAGGAAGAGCAGAGCTAGCATTTACCTGGCATTTACTGAGCCCTTCTCAGCTATGGTGCCCTCTGACCCAGTACAAACCCACATTCCCCTGGGCCTCATGGGGTTTCTCTGCTGCCCCTCAGAAGCTGAGACCTTGGAAGTCTTAGACTGTGGCAGCCTGTAGCAGGGAGGTCAGTGTACAGGTGCCCTTTAGGTGTGAATATTGACAGATTATCATCAGCATTCCTTCTATATAGGGAGGTGCTGGCCTAAAGACACTACACTTGTTCAGATCTTATTCTAGGGGACATCTTTACCTTTCTGCCCTAGACACTCATCAAACCTCTACCTCTTACCTCCAACTCCCCCCCCACCCCCGCCACCACCTTTTGCTTCTTCCTCTACCTTCAGTGCATCCCTTGGAGGGACAATGCCTGCTGCACAACCAACACAAGCTGGGAAGCTCACCTGGATGTGTCCTTGCTCTACAACTTCAGCCTGGTTCACTGTGGATTGATGATGCCAGACTGTCAGAAGCACTTCATCCAGGCTGTCTGCTTCTACGAGTGCTCCCCAAACCTGGGACCTTGGATCCGGCAGGTGGGAAGACCAAGCTGGAGATGCGAGAGGCACATCTGTGCAATGCTCTGAGCTACAGGATACTAGCAGGAACAGGAAATGCTGTCCCTCTGTGGACAAGAATGGAGTCAGAGGTCTCTGCTGGGAAAGGGATGGGGAGGAAGTTGCCTCTGGGGATAGGGGAGGCAAGGAGGAGACTGGTCAGATAAGAACAGTAGAATGAGAGACTATTTGAATCCTATCTTCTGTATGTAGGAACAGAAGCCATGTAGCCTGGAACAAACTATTTAGCCTCTTAGCCTTAGTGTTCTCATTGGTAAAATAATCCTTACAGATTTCATAAGAGAATGTTCATATGATACACGAGTACCATTGCAGCTATTGACAGTCTTCAAATTTCTGCTATTTGTTTTTGTCTCTGGCCGTGCATGTACCCAGGTGGATCCGAGTGGGCAGAGAGAGCGAATTTTGAATGCACCGCTATGCCAGGAGGACTGTGAGCAGTGGTGGACAGACTGCCACACATCCTACACTTGCAAATCCAACTGGCATAGCAGCTGGGACTGGAGTCAGGGTGAGTAGTACTTGACAGAGCCTGGGGAAAATTAGGGCATGAGAGGCCATCCACCTGAGGACAGGTGCCAGTTTCCTAGGCTACCTCAAGGCAAATGATGGGGATGTGAGGATGGGAGTCGTAGGAGGTAAGATTTCTGTGCCTTAATCCCCCACAGGGAAGAGCCGCTGTCCTGCAAGGGCCTCCTGCCACCCTTTCCCCCATTACTTTCCCACCCCGGCTGACCTGTGTGAGAAGATTTGGAGCAACTCCTTCAAGGCAAGCCCTGCACGCAGGAACAGTGGGCGGTGTCTGCAGAAGTGGTTTGAGCCTGCTCAGGGCAACCCCAATGTGGCGGTGGCCCACCTCTTTGCTAGCCCTGCCCCATCCTGGCAACTCTCCTCTACTCTCATGTCCTTCTCTCTGTTCCTGCCATTCCTTTCCTGAGAGCCCCTACTTCTCCCACACACATGCTGACACTCCCCCAGGTATGAGCTGGGCTGGGCCATAGCAGCCTCCTTCCTCAGTCCTTTCCTTAAACAGAGCAGCACAGGCTGGGGTGTTGCTGGCACATTGAGGCTACGCGGCTTGGTGCCTGAGCCTTGAACATTTGGTTCTAGAACCCCTCTACTGTTCTGCTCTGCCTTTGCCTGCCTGGAAGGCAACCAGGGGTGAGGTGTACCAAGGTGACCCATCCCCTCCTGCCTTTAAGAATGATGGGGCTCTGATGTGGGACTCCAGGCCCTTCTCATCTAGTGCAGGTCCACCCCTTTCCCTGGCAGTGCTGATGGTGACAGCCCTGGCCTCCCATCCCATCATGGTGCCTCCACTAACACGGCAGTTGACCTTTCCTCTCTGCGTGACTCACTCTGTCCTAGCTTTATGGTCAGGAAATCAAGCTGCACAAAGAAGGAGCCAGTTTGCCTCCTGCACTGAAGCCGCAGAGTTGGTTGTTACTTAACATATACCAGGCTCTCTTGTTACAACTCGTTACAACACCTCTCTGGTGGGAGTACTTTCAACACCCCTCTTTTTCAGTAAGTGATATATACTGTACAAAAGACCCCAAAACAGAGTGAGCCTGGGGCCCTCCAGATCACCAGCTCTATTTTGGATACCAAGATTAAAGCAGCTGTTTCAACTGCTTTCAGCAATTCCTCTTCGTTTTAACCCCAGAATCACAACACACTGTCTGGAATTTTGGAAGCCCGAGTTCTAATCCAGCTTTACTACTTTCTATATGACTTTGACAAGTCCTCTAACCTCCATGTAAGACTGTCTTGGTTTCTCTCTCTCATGAGAGGAATGAGGTAGTTGGACCAGATAATTTAACTTAGAATAAGAAAAAGGCCAGTGCCATTGTTCGTTGGGATATAGTCTATGCTTCTTGGGCAGTGCCACGTCCTGAAGAACAAGACAAAAGAGTCAGAATAGAGTTAGAAAAGGTGTCCTGAGGCAGACTTCATGACCCTTCAGTAATGAACTAGCAGCCACTGTCACTCAAAACCTTCTGGAGCCTGAAACCCAGCAGCTTCCCAGCATAGATGTCTTCCCTTCAACCTTCCCTTTACAAAGAGAAGCTTCTGTCTGCACCTTAATTGACAATTACAATTACTCATTCTCACAGACACCAGCAAGTCCTGCTCATCAGTTAAATTCAACCTGCATTCCTCCCATGCTAACCTCGAATGTGTTCCTTCACTGAACAAACCCTGTTACAGGCAGGGCACTCGAGTTCTAAAACTGACAAAGAGCATCCTTCCAGGTGAGGTAGAAGGAGTTTGGAGTCAGGGACAGACAGCAGCAGTGGCGATGAAGCTCTTCACTGGAAATCTGCAAGAACGAGGGGTAGGGATGCTGGGAAGGCCTCACAAGGGGTGAGGCTTGAGCCCCGATGAAGAAGGGTCACTTTATTGAGAACAGAAAGAAATGCTAGACAAAACCAGCTGAGTCCCCAAAACAAGAACTGCATGAAGCAGGACCTTTCGTTGCTCTTATATTAATAAATTGTGGCCTCTAAAATATAGGTAAAATTTTTTAAGAATTGAGGACTTTATGGAGTATCTGAGGAGTGTGCTTGGTAATAAACTTGAGAGTTTAATGGCTTTATTTTAATATTTTTAGGTATAAATATTTTTTAAAAAAATATTCTAAGTAGGGTTAAAGTTGAGACAGACCAAACAAGACTAGTTTTGGGAGTCCTAATAAATGTTACTATTTATTGATCACTTACTCTGCCTGAGCTCTGCTAAGCTCCTAACGTGTGTTAGCTCATTTGAGCCTCTCAAAAGCTTTGAGATACTCTCATACCCATCCTCCCATTTTTCAAACTAGGACAGAAGCATATGTAAGTTTGAAACCAGGTAAGTCTGACCCTTGTTCCCAGCTCATAAAGCTTACACTCAACATTCTGACAAGTCATTGTTTGGGGCTGGAGTGATGTGGGAATTGGAGGGAAAGGAGGCTGGTCCATGGCTGGTCACTGCCAGGAAAGAGAGACTGAGCTCTCTTACCCTATGGGTTTGGGAGGAGTGGTATATTTTAAGTAGTGGAGTGAAACTGTTAGATTTGTAGTTAAATTACTTTTTAAATCAGAGTGATCCATGCACATTGGTAAAACACATAGCTCAAAGGATGTTTGACAAAGAAACAGCGCCCCAGCCATCCAACCCCTCAGCCCCAGGGCCCCTGCCCAGAGGCACCCACTTCTAACCATTTCCGAATTTAGCTATGAAAAAGTTGCAAAGCTGACTTATCTTTCTGCCACACATTCAGACTATTTTCTTTCTCTCTGTCAGAGTTTCTCAACTTAATCCTTTAATATTTTTAATTTTGGCAATCTACTTTTAATTTCTAGGAGACTTTTTATTTTCTCTTGTCGTTCTTCATAGCCTGTTGTTTTCAGTTTTATGGATGTAATATCCTCCCGAATCTCATTGACGATCTAATTAGAATTTTTTAAAGCATGTTTCTAGTCTCTGAATGGCCTGTTTCCTCCAAAGTCAATCCGTTCTGTTTATCTTGGTCTTCTCCTTTGTGCTGATGTTCTCTGTGTCTCATGACTTTGGCTTTATGTTCATATTTAAGAGTGAGAGCTAGGTTGATTTTTCTAGTTAGCTGCAATGGGGGTCCTCCATGGTTGTATATGTAAGTCTTCTCTCTCGTGACTAGCAAAGTTGATGAGTAGTTATGGGTACCTGTGGAGGGTTGTTGACTAGAAGACTTTGCTTCAGAGTGTGGAAATAAATGAAGATTAAATGAGAACAAACAAAGGCTATTTATTCAGAGCTTCCCTAACAAGGATGTCAGCCACTATTACTTGCATTTTGGCAGAGACTCAAAGGGAGGGAGAATAGGGGGTGAGTTTTTAGAGTGGAAAAAAAAAAAACCTTTTAATTTTCAGTCTGTTGGCAGCGGGGATCTGTAGTTGACCTAATTAGAAGTGGGCTATCCTATGTGAGGTGCATATTTGGCTTTCTCCGATTGGTCCTCAGCTGGAAGCAGGGATTAAAAATTAGGGAAGCTGTCAGTCATTAATCAAGTCCTGGATGTTTGGGACTGATCATGAGAGGAATTATTGTTGAGTCTGACTTATGCATAGAAGGCTGGCTTTCTGGGCTGATTACTGCAAATAATGGGTTAGAACTCTATTTTTATGTACAACTGGACATTGTCGATTTGTATATACAGTCTCTCAAGACTGAGTTGGCAGTAAAGACCCTTCGAATGCTAGAATAAGGATGGTTCTCTCTGAGGTGCCAAAATCAGGTACTTCAATGTGTGTGAAACTTCAGCACTATCCAACATTATTTTTTTTATCAAATATCTCTTCTAAGTTCCCCCTTCAAAGTTCCCCCTAAGCATGTGTAGACTTTCCCTCTCTGTCCCCCAGGCCTGCCAATTCTGAGCCCAGAGCTCTCAGAGGTTCTGCCCAGCAGATCAGCTCTGACTTCCACTGCAGCTGCCTCCTCCACTTCCTCTGGCCACCTCTCTTCCCTGTGGTGTGCTTCTATGTGCTTTCCATCTTCTAAATATCTGTTGAAACCTCCTGGTCCCTGGTGGTTTCCTTCACATTATTTTAGTAAAGGAACGCTTAGAAATAAATATTTTAGTGGGAACCAGTTACTTGTTTTACTTTCTGTAACCAGCAGCTGCAGATTTTAAAAAAGATCTCATTGTTTAAAGAGCAGATTAAACAATTGGGCCAAACTGAAGACACAGAGGCTTAGGACAACGTGTAGAATGAATTTGCGGGAGAGAAATGACATAGAAATGCAGGTGATAGAAACCTAATTGCAAGTAATGCTATAGGAAGAATTAAGTCAGGTTACAGGAGAGACAGTGGACTAGAAAGGGGCAGATTCAGAAACTATTAGCAAGGTAGAACCCATAGAAATGTGGACCGTATTTTTTATACAGTGAAAATAACAGTAAGTTCTCACTTAACATCGTCAGTGGGTTCTTGGACACTGTGACTTTAAGAAAAATGGTGTATAAGGCCAGAAAAAGCCTAAGGGGTCCTCTGATGAAGTCCAATCCACCCATTACACAGATGGGCAAAGTGAGATAAACTAAGGCTAAAGATAAAATGTCTTGCCCAAGGTAGAGCTAGAACTTGGAGGCTGTTCTCCAGATACACTAGAGGTCTAATTGATATAAATAAATCATTAGGCTAATTAAAGAAAAGTTCCTATGGCATACTTCTGGTCACAAAAACTTAAGCAAACTTCTAAAGACCCCAAATACTTCTAATATTAAACATTGAAATAAATGTGAACTATGCATCCATTTAAGAAAGATTTAGAAGAACAAGTAAAATCATTATTTTCCAAATCAGTTATTCCAGGTCAGGGTCATAGATGGTCAGAGTCTGTTCTGGCAGTTCAGGGCATGAGGTGGGAACTCACCCTACACAGGGCCACTCACACACACACTGAGACTGAGACAATGTAGAAACAACAATTCACATCACATGTACATCTTTGGGATGTGGGAGGAAACCAGAGTCCCCAGAGAAAACTCATGCATGCACATGGGGAGAATGTGCAAGCTTTATACAGACAGTGGCTCTGGCAGGTATCGATTTTTTTTCTCATCGATGTTGTAAGCAAATGTTGAACAAAATGTTACTTAAGACCTGCTTTAGGTATAAAATAAAATGTAGCGGGGAGAAAACTATAATAAAGGGAACAACCTTGGATGCCTCAACTCTGAAGCTCCCATTTGTAAGAGGAAATTTCCCCGGCTCACACTGTACTAGGTCTTGAGTGGGAGGGGATATGACGGAGGGCATTCCTTCTACAGGATGCAACCCAGTCACTTTTCCACTATGGAAACACCAAACCCTATTCAAGTCCTTCCTCAGAGAATGCTGGGAAGTCCTGGGTAGCAGGTGAAAAACAAAAACAAAATGGCTCTCTTTCGTATGCATCCCTTGCTTATGACCT